TCTCTGTAAAGTAGCAAACTAAACATGCCTTAGAGCTACCTTTCAAGCCTGGACGGTAGCGTTTCATAAAGATTTCCATTTTGGTTTATTGCTGCACTATAATGGAGAAAATGTTAAAAACCCAAAACCCCATTACCTCTCCCATGCCCCTTGACTCCAAAGCAAGGGCTTGAAAGTCATAGTTCATTTCATCCACAGCACGAACCTGAGACAAAGGGGAGACAAAGCTTTTTGAGATACAATTTCATCGACCAATTTTGATTTAACACTATCCAAATAAAATTCCTAGACTGTACACAGAAAGCTAAAAGCACCTGAACAACACAACAAACTAACATATGTTTTTTTAAGATTTGTTTTACCTCAAACATTGTGGTTTTGTGAAATAATAAAAGCCAAATATTTCAAGAGGCCCCTCAGCCAACAAAAGATTACTGTTCAATGGAGAAGCATTCAACATGAAGTTTCTAAATAATCACCATAATACAACCACAAACAAAACAAAAACGATGAAGAGTTGTAGTTGGTGGTATTTGCCTTCTTCTACCTTCAGTATTTCTGACAAATTGTTTTAAGTCTTAAATTTTATATATCTTCATTCATACTGTCTTTTCTTTCTCTTTTAGCCAGATCTCACATGCTGCATGAATGAATTTATCAAAAAGAAAAAGTCTGACAGACGTTAAAAACAAGAAAATCAACTTTCTGATTTACATTTGGGAAAACAAGAGGTTCATGTTGGGCTCAGTGTTTAGCATTGATGCCTCGTACCAAAACTACAAATCTAGGGTACAGTTTGGGGCCCCTTTGTGAGGAGTTCATTTGTTTTCCCTTGTTCCTCACACAGACCAAAGACATGCAAGTTAGGTGAGTTGGGTGTGTTGCTACAGGCATCAGTTAGAACATCACCTTTAATCCAGGAAGGATACTACAACTCATGAATAGGATATTATAACTCAGGGCAGTCATTGCAGTGACTATCTTGTCTATCTCAGCTGTGCTGAGGCAGTGACCAAAGCACTGGCCTCACATGCTTCGCCCACTGCAAATCAAGAGACTTTTTTTGTGACACCGTACTACTGCTATCTTAACACACCTTGTGACAGACAGGTGATCTGTCCAGTGTGTACTCTACACTTCACCCAGTGTGTGATGGGATAAGAGAATACGAACGGTGTTTGGACCCAAAACTTAGGTTTGCCATTGTGAAGAAGTTCTCAATTTTCTAAATTCTGCTCTTCATTTCTGCTGAGTAAAGAAACAAGACCATCCTTCATAGAAAGCCTTATTAACTTATTACTGTTATAGACAAATTAAAGCATCAACTCAGGTGTAACTAATATTATTTCCATTTTTGTTTCAAGACTCGTCCAGTGAAATATATTAGATGAAATATCTAGTTCATAGACTAATTATTTTAACGGTTATAGTTGCTGCCTTATGTCTTCTGTGTTCTCTCAGCAACAAACATTTTTGAATTGCCTGTAGTGTCATTTCATTTCTTTCAGAAGGAAAAAAAAAAAAAAAAAGAGCTTTTGATGAATATATATAAAATATTTCTACACAATATACTCCCGTCATAAACTGGATTTTCAGGAATTACAGATGCAAACAACCTGCTTAGCAACCTACATTTTCCCCTTGAATAAGTTCTTGGTTTTAATCAGGAACTCTTACACCATGAGCAATTATGTTGTTTGCAATGTTGTTTTGTATTTACTGACACTGCCATTAAATCTTTGTATTGCTGCAGCCCATGGCAACTAAAGCCGCTGACATTTTTCATGTGCTCTAACTTCAATAAACAAATCTAGAAAAAAAAGGTAATTAATGAATGGCTGGCACCTGGTGTAAAGCATCATAGATTAATGGAGTATGTGAAATATGTGACCTGTCAGAGTGAATAACAGACTGTTATTGTCTAGCCTCGACACCACATAATGCGTCCAAACACAAACTGATACAGAGCAGTTACAATCCCACTAACAATTTATTCTGTGGTTTTAACATATTCAGCATGCAAGTGCTGAATTCAACTTCATTTCAATTTTGTTGCTTTCAAAGTTGACATTATCTAATCTATATGTCCAATAAGCAATCATGTTGCAACAATGTGCAGTATGAGAGAAATTGACGACCCCTCTGCCACCCCTCTTCACAAAGAATAATACATAAAGAAAAGACAATGGGTCTAACAACTGATACAATATTCAACGAAACTTGTGGCCTCTGGTGATACAAAATACTGCCGTCAGGCAATCTAACCTACACTTAACTGAATAACACTGCAATGACGAGTCTCTGGATGAAGGCTCTTTACCTGGTCAACATGATTGGCATCTCCAGTTGGCCAGCGATGCTTGCTGGGTGTGCAACCTCCAAGCTGCTCTCCAGGCTGCCTCTGAAAGAAGTATCCAACTGTGGCGTCATCCTGAGATCGTCCACTCAGTGGAGGCTGTGGGGTACCTGGGGTAGGGTTGGGACCCCTATCCATGCCCTGTAAATGTGGACCTCCAGGAGCTTGTACAGCTCCCCCAACTGAGGCTAGGGGCCCCCCACCATGAACTCTGACACCTCCAGTCTCAGGAGCACCATTTGCATGCAGCATCCCACCTCTTGTCTCCTGCCAGGCCACGTCATTCATACCTAGGATGCTGCATGGAACGCTCATTCCACGGGAAAGCCTAAACAAATCACAACATGATGATTTAGTAAATGATAATTGGCATTCAAATTGACCTGCATCAATTTTAGAGATACAAAATGTATTAATTATGACGACATGAATATGCAACCTTATTTGAGGACATTAACCTTTTGTGCTGATCTGCATTATAACATAGTGACTTGGTAATCTACCAGGGTGACTGTGTCACACAAATAACTCAGATATATGATTTAAGTTACTGTTTATAACTGCCAACATGAATTTAGCACCTACTATAACAAGACGCTTACTGCATCTTGATGGGGTTTTAAGTTATAAAAGCTGTAAGTTAAAATATTTGGCCCTCCTCAGTCATTACTCTGTGAGCCTTTACATAAACCGAGTTTTGGAATAGACTTCAGGAAACGGATGCACCCAGAAATACTGAATGGACAATTACAACATAATTTAATTCGCCGGGACATGGCTAATTCCCGTGTAGCTAACTCCATGCTTTGGCTGTTCTACGGGAAAAGATTGAAACGATAAATAATGTTGCCTGAATATCCAATTTTAGTTACATTGCCTGTTAATAGACGGCGCATTAGCTCTACATTGGAAGTATAATTTATGTAAAGTTTGTTAATACACGTATGAGAGATGAACGAACAAAACAAGTAACGGGGATGTCGATGGCTTGCATTACTAAGAATGCTAGGTGGATAACGTCGTCCTAGTGTTAGCTGGTGACCATAAAGCTAATGTAACGCTACCAGTAATGTAACGTTATTAATGACTAAACGGACATTTAAAAGGCAATCATTTAAGGTTACCAATTTAAGCCATAGTGAGCGGTGGCTGGCTTTTAAAATTATCGGACGAGCTGCAAAGCTACATCCAACATTACCTATTGATCGTTGTGGCAAACCGACGTGCTAGCCTTTTAGCAAGCTGGCTAATCTAGCTAGCCTAGCCAGCAAGTCCGCTGCTAATAAGGGAGCTAACTTTGCGGCTTTAACCACGAATTGATGCAAATGTTTATTTTAAGTTGTTGATGGCTTAGCACGTCGTACACTTGTTGTCCATCATTATTTGTGTCAATTAATTTATTCACACAAGAGGAAATCGAACATGTTTAATGTAAGCTAGTACTACTGGACTGGCGTGAGCATTAGCAACATCCTTAGCGAACCAGCTAAGGCTAACCGCAGCGGGCCTGCTATTTATTATTGCTAGACATCAAAGTTAAATTCACGAATTTGCCATTGTTTTACAGTAAACTTGTGGGCTCCCACGTTGGACAGAAAACACGCTGTTCTCTTGACTCGAAATACCACAGTGGCTGCTTGCAACCAGACAAATAAAACCAAAATAGCTAACGTGTGTGCTAGCAGGCGCTAATTGCCTAGTTGGTGTTGTGTGAGCTAAAACATTAACCAAACACTCAGTGGCTAAACAACATGGCCCCCCTTCAAGTTCCAAACAGAGGGGCCTTAACCGCTAAACAAAAGGGGAAATACTGACACCACGGCAGTCGCCTTCAAAGCAGTCGCTTTACAAAGCTTTTACTTTCGACGTGGACAAATAAAGAGTAGATACTCACGCGTTGTCGTGTCGAGAGAGGGTCTATGCTTGTTGCACGCCGTCAACCCAATTCTATATTGTTTTGTTTCCTTGGAGAGCGGTGATTTAGCAAGGCTTGATAGTCAAAGCTAAGAGTTTGCCTACGCCAGTGCCCCCTCCCTGTAAATAGCGTGAACTGCGTAGACATGCGTATAACAATGTCAATGTAAATTTGCCTTCCCAACGTACGTTTTGTACACTACATGTAAACGTAACACACATTTGCTTCAATGTGTATTTAATGTACTTATCAACCTGTCATCAGTCACATTATGAATTAGCACTGTATCATACCCTTTCCCCGAAATGTGCACTCACGCTGCTGCTGGATACCCCCTGAAGTAAGTTGTTTGAATGGATGTTTATTGGACAGTCTAATTTAATTTTGCGGACAAGGTTGAGTCGGTAACAAAAGTAACAAAAGGCTAAAACAATGTTTCTGGTGTGGCATTGTGTTTTTAACGACGATGAGTTCATAATAGAAGTCGATTTAAATACGAATTACAAAAAAATGTCGCGTAATGCATGATCATGCAGTTAGATTTGGGTGATTCTGGCTGATCCTGGGTCGGGTGGGTCCTCGTGGTCCATGACCCTCCTCTGTACAAGGGGAAACCGATGAGATCCAATCACCTCCTCCTTTACAAACTGTGATCTCACCTCCCTATTTCCGATTGGGTTGCTATATTTAGGAAACCACCCTGTGCTTTATAAAGAGCAGTGGGTACTGGTAAGGGTTGTGGAGTTAGGAGACGAGAACGACTTACTGGAGAAGGCTGTCCTTTCTCATTTAGAGCATTTAAATAGTGGGAGCGGACACAGCGGGCATATATGTGTTTTGGATGCTACGTCTGAGCTAGAGCTAGGAAAAAGGAAGGGATGGCAGACATACGCAAAAAACTTGTCGTGGTGGGGGACGGCGCATGTGGGAAAACATGTCTACTGATTGTATTCAGCAAAGACGAGTTTCCTGAGGTGTATGTTCCGACTGTGTTTGAGACATATGTGGCGGACATAGAAGTGGACAACAAGCAAGTCCAGCTAGCTCTGTGGGACACCGCTGGACAGGAGGACTATGACCGGCTGCGCCCCCTCTCCTACCCGGACACTGATGTCATTCTGATGTGCTTCTCCGTAGACAGCCCGGACTCATTGGAAAACATCCCTGAAAAGTGGGTCCCTGAAGTCAAACACTTTTGTCCTAATGTACCAATTATATTAGTGGCCAACAAGAAGGATCTGCGCAACGACGAGAACGTAAGGAACGAGCTGTCCCGGTTGAAGCTGGAGCCAGTGAAAACAGAGGATGGCCGGGCCATGGCCATGCGCATTGGCGCATATGACTATTTGGAGTGCTCTGCCAAAACCAAGGAGGGGATCTGGGAAGTATTCGAGACTGCAACACGGGCAGCGTTACAAAAACGAACAACACCCCCAGGTGGTTGTCTCAAATGCTGTGTTTTGATGTGAATCGATTCTGTCTGGCGATGAGGTGCAGACAAGACGTTACCGCCGCTGGGATCTGTGTCTGAACATGTATGGGCAGTGACCATGGTTTGGATACTCCCTTGTGATCAGACGACCTTGGCTGAACCAGAACGAAGGACTGCAAAGAAGTTGTTTTGAACACACTCGATAATCATCTGATATCGTTGTGTGTGTCCGTGTGTGTGTGTGTGTGTGTGTGTGTGTGTGTGTGTGTGTGTGTCTGTGTGTGTGTGTGTGTGAAATGCACTGGTTACAGCATGTTCTTTGTGGGTCACATGATCCCAGTCTGACTGGTGGAGGGGTAAAAAGGACAAACCACAAACATTTCAATGGACGCCTGGACCCCTGTCTCTTATGTGGACAAGGCCTGCTTTCGAGCCAAGATTTCACTTGCTCACTTTTTGTGTTTCACAGTGTTTGCTTAGGCCACTGCCTTACTGCCAATGTTATACTTTGTAATAAGCAAAGCAGTAAAAAAATTGCACTTGTTATTTATGTCCACTTTGTATTGTAAAATGGCTGTATTCTTTTGAGAAATTGCACAGCATCTGCAAACTACAGTAATTCACAGAACGTTTTATACACCCTTCAGTGTAAGGATACCCGTGGTGTTCTGTATAGTTCCCTCTGATGTTTGATGCCATTTTGGAATTAACATTAGCTTAAGTTTACAGTTCATGAAATTAGCTGTCTCAGGTTTGTTAGTTGGAACAACGTCCACATTGTATGTTTTGACTCCCTAGTATATGCCTAGTTTAATAGTTGTTAGGCAACATGCCCAATTTCATAACAGGTCTTGGAGAGTACAAATCATGTCTGGGAAAGGGCTTAACCATATTGTCCAATGTATTGCAACTTTTCTGGTTGGTGTTTTGTTAGAGTGGACAAACAGTTAAACAGAAATATTTTTTTTTTTAGGCTTGCTAAGCATGCATCTACCATAAATGTAATGCTTGGCTGTGGCTACAGTGACACTGATGAAATAGGTGCTTTTTGAACACAGATTAGTAAAACAGTGAAAGGAAAGTTACACAAAGGCACTGTCAACTGTAAACAGTCAGGAAAGGAAAAATGTTTTTTTTTTTTATTTTACAGCTCACCTGAACCAAATCATTTGAAGCACATACAGCATCTCACTATGCTTTTGAACTCTGAAATCCAGGTTTAGCTATTTCACAGGCTGGCATATCTCAGCTGTCTCTAAGACCTGCTTAGCATTTTACATTAAGATACAGCTTCATCTGCAGTCCTGTAGGTGATATTTCTAAGAGAAGATTGAGCATGTGAGATGGTTTAGCATGTGAGTGCTTTGTTCACAGAAATATGTTTTCTTAGAAAGTGTCATGAAAAGAGGAGTGGGCTACATCAGAACTCTATGAGCCAGTAGCACACTCACATGGGATTAAGCCATGGGATGACAATTAAAAATTTCAATGGAAATTGATCATATGTTATGTTATTATAACCAGAATCTTTTAATAATGACACAAACTTAAAAAACAAAAAGGTGTCCCTATTTTTTTTCTGAAGCTATAAAGTTATAATTCAGTAAAACTGAGTTCAGTAAAACTGAATTATGACTGACACAAATCCACCTTAATGTCTTCCTTTATGACTGTGAATGTAGCTCAAATTTATGTGTTCAAACACATAGTTGGAGCTTTGTATGTCAGCTAGATTTCAATTCTTGTGAAATAAATTCAGCTCATGTTTGATCTGTGTCTACACAGAAGTGTTGTGTAACTGTCCTCTTACATGATGGTGGGAGTGCTTGTACAAATGACAGCTATGATCATCAATTACAGAGAGTGTTGCTACACTGAAAATCCAGGGCAAAACCCTGGTGGATGTACAATGTGAGTTATTCTTTTAATGATAACTGAAGACAAGAAAGCTCAATTTCACCTTAAACATGTCATTTTTCTGTGGTTCAGAAAGCAACTATAGCAAAGATAAATCTGAGTCTAAAAGAGTATTTCTAAAAATCCAACCAGAGTTACGACGATGTAAAAGTCACATTCCTCCCTGCCTTCTGTTGCTGGGCTTTTTGCTGACTTACAGAGCAGGAATGCATTGTGTTGGATTGGTTAATTTTCCCACATTGCTCCTCCCTATGTGCCTCCGATTTCCAGTGTTGTTAGGTTATAATTCAGTGATGAGTGCTGAAAATGTGCCAAACCTATCTGTTTGTAAGTGTTGATCAAATTATGACCACATTAATGAAATCACGCAATACTTACTAGGTTTGAACAGTAGATGGCAAACAATGGAAATTTTTGTGAGGAAAAAAAAAAGAATGTAAGGGAACAATCGGTACTGTTCTGGGAAACTCAATAAAAAAAATCAATGTGTGTCACCATCTCTACTTCTCCATTCTTTTGCCTCATTTTCTCACACTGCAGACCAGTTGTTATTACGCTGTTGCAGCCACCATTTCTTTTAACATGCTTGAAACAAATATAAATCTATTCGCAATTATACTTTGAATTTGGTTGGTATATTTTGCAAAGACCGTCATCCCTTGAATTTGTGAATTTATTTTTACGCGTAACTTTAAGTGGTGTAAAAGTAATTGAGTGTATTTACTTAAGTAAAGTTTTGAGGTACTTTTACTAGTATTTCCTTTTTATGACACTTTGTACTTAATAAATATTGTACTTTTTATCTGGTAGCTATAGTTACTAGATATGCTGATTGACACTAGGACATTCCCTGAATTGAGTATTTATACCATACCATACCATTTTGATAATATTTTTGTACAAAAGTAAGATTTTAAACACAGGACTTGTAATGGAGTATTTTTCCCACTGTTACATTGCTACTTTTAGTTACGTAAACAATCTGAATATGTCTTTTCTACCACAGCTTTGGATCCCAGAGGGGGAGATAAATGTTAGGGCTTGGCTCTTTACTATTGTTAGCAACACCTGCCAAACCGATTCTGTATTCATTCTTCTCATTCTCATTGTTTTATGATCGGAGAGCTTGTGTGTCACAGAAGCTATTTATGTATCTGCTAAATTTATACCCAAGGGAACTAATGATGAATGAGCATATGACAGGGGCGTATAAGGGACTTAAAAATAATGCCATATCATTACTGTGTTTTTTAACAAGTAACTATACAGTAGGCTATATTTGTGAGTTTGAAGGAAGCACCATCTTGTAGGAATAATCAGTGTGTAAAAATCATATCACCTTCGCTGTCAGTCGTACTCTATAAGTCATTCAAAAAGTTAGATTTTTAGAAATTTATGTTAAATTATATGTAAGAAATACACAGAGTTGCATGCAGTACACACTGTCTTTATTGAAGTCCACATATTTTTTTTAAATAGTACAAGACACAAAGGGAGCACAGTAGGATCACAACTGAGAGTCTACTGTGAGATAATAAACAAAATTAATAATTTGAAAAACAGAGTAGAGACAAGCATTTTGAGTATAGACAATACCTGTTAGCATGCAGTTTTGCATTTTTTAGTAGAACAGATTTACTGTGGTCTTGATGGTTACACAACAGATATAATCAATGCAAACACTGTATTATATCTTTTTAGCCAAGGTCAGTTAGTTGAATTTAGAAACAAATGGCAAGGGAATGTCAACCTCCATCTGTCTGTCACTTACTCTCACAAAGGGTTCAACATTTTTGCTTTTCTCCTTTAGGGTCTTAATGACATTGTTGTGGAATGCATTCATACGTTTTACCAACGAGTCAATCCAGGACTGAATGTCAGCCTGAAGCTGTTCACTAGACACATCAGCCATAATATTTTGGATTTTAGCTCTCACAGTTTTTAGATATTCCATAACAATTCTGTAGGCCACCTCAATCTGATTGGAGATATCAGCCAGGACAGGAGAGTTGATGGCATCTCTGTACAAATCAGCGACAAAGTCAGAGAGTTTCTCTATGTTCTGAGATTTTAGGGTTTGGAGAAACTTCTCACTTTGTTCAGTGGTAAACTGCATGAATGCTGAGAATTTCTTAATGATATCTTCCAACTTGATTTGTCTCAACTTCATCACAATGACAATAACTTGGTCCTGGATTTTTCGCAGAGCTACAGACAAATCTTCAAGAATTTCTCTTCCACTGACAATATGGTTAGAGCCAGGAAGGGTGAATTCAATGGCTTGGAAATAATCGAGGACTGCTGTAAACATGCTGGCAAAATACTGAGGAATCTTTTGAACAGCTTCCTCAAATATATCGGCAACAAAAGCACTAAATTGCTGGTAGACCTCAAGCCCAGACAGCCTCTGTTCGAACCCTGGGATCTGGAACTTGGTCTCTCTCAGGAATTTGACAACAGCATCAAGAATAATTTCAACTTTCTTTTGGTACTCCTTGAGGATTAAAATGGTCTTCTCTGTGACAGTTGTCATAACATCAGAAGGATTTACTGCAGCAAGGTTGTCAACAGCCCTCTTGAACATCACTTTGCCCTGCTTTCTAATCTGTTTAATAGACTCCCCAAGTACACCAGCATTTCTGTAGATTTTGTTATATGTCCTGACAGCAGGATCAGACACCATTTCCATAACTGTAGGCACCTGTTTCTTCAGTCCCAGCATCACCTCATATGGCATCTCCAAATTCCAGGTTGTCTGAATGTTCAGCTTCTCAGAGTTCATCACTGACATCTTCAGACCCAAGATGTCAATGTCTGTTGTTGGCTCAGACTGTGGGAAAAAGTAAACATGCAACAAAAAAAATAAATTACTAAAACATAAATACACCAATTAAATTGAAATCACAATCATAGGTAATTAGTAAGCAAAAAAGTAACCAAAGGTTCTCTCACCGGGTAGCGACCATAGAGTCTTCCTTTGACTTGTGCTGGGCTCTTAGCCTGCACCTGAACTGCAATGAGTCCCGCAGATGGAGTAGACATAGAGACAACAAGGCCTTCCTCAGGATTTCCAGTAATCTCCTGGTAGATTTCCATTGTCACTTCAGGTAGCTTGACCTTTACTGAATTGGTGATGGAGGTATCCATATTTTCATAACCTAAGATGATGCTGCTCTTATGGTTTCCCTCTACCATTGCATGTTCTACAGAGAGGGTAGAGGCCATTGGGAACACACCAGCTCTGCTCAGGCTGAAGTCGCCCTTAACCCTCCCATTCAGAATCTCAAATTCAGAGGATGAGGAAGTATCAAGTGTGAATGTGGTACTGATGTCCTGGTTGAAGACACGGGCATCAGCTTTGAGTGTGAGCATTGCTGTTTTGATGGAGAACTCATGGGTCAGATCACCCATTACTGGGATCTTGATGCTCTGAATTTTTGGAAGAGTGATTTTTGGAAGAGTCAACTTGCTCAGGGCAGATGGAACATGCAGAGAAGGCGTTGTTATGAGACTGAAGTCGGGCAGGGGAATGGTAAATGTAGACATCTCAACATTCATCACTGGAACTCTGTAGGCAGGCACTGTAATGGTTTTCGGCAACTCAATGCTATATCTTTCATACTCTGCCTTTGCTTTGTTATAAGATGTAGCGAGGATGGCAGCAGCCTTATCCTTGCCAATGAGTACTTGCTTGTGCAGAGTCTTGGCATTGGTGTTAATGACATTGATGATAGGATCAACATTAATGTCAATGATGATCACCTCAGGGTTCTTCGTATACCTCAGCTTGGAGCTCATGTCAACTGTCTGCTGAGTTGTGGTTAGGAGGTTGCTCAGGCCAGTTTCTTCCCACAGTGAAAGGTAGTCCACACTTGGTGTTCTAATACCAACAAATGGCAGTGTTATTTCAGGAATTGTGATAGGTTCAGTCAGTACATCAAGATTAGCTTCTCCTTTAATCTGGGAAAATATGTTAATTTCTCTCTTGCCATTATCCACGGTGAAGTAATGGGAATATTTGTACTGGTTGAATCTAGCCAGGCCTGTCCAGCTACCTTGCTGAACTTCAGAGTTAAGGACAAGAGTGATGTCATTCTGGAGATCCACCTTTCCAGACAGCTTGAATGGAAGGGCAACCTTGGCATTTCCCTTATTCTTGGTGTCAAACTGAAGCTCATTAGGTGTGATCAAAGCAAGGGCAGAGCTTGACAGAGTTCCCTCTACCTGTCCTGTCAGGTCTGCATTGTGAGAGGCAGTGAAATCAATTTTCATGTCTTCAACCTTAGCTTGGAACTTGACCTCTGCAACACTGCCCTTCATGAAAGGTGTTTCTGTCTCAACCTTGGCATCAACAATTATGTGCCGGAAGATGCACACATCAGCAACAACATTTTGATTTGTTTTGAAGTGGCTGCAGCCTGTTTCACCAATGAAAGTTACTTTGGTTGTGTGGAGATCCATGACCACTTCCAGGTCACTCTTGTGGGTTGCCTCATCTGAGAAGTCCTGAATTGCATATTTTTCATTGGCCAGATTGTTAAAGGTCAGACGGGCAGTGCCAGCCTCAAGCAGGAAAGCGGTCTTTTGATTCATCGATGTTTCACTGAAGATGTTGAGGAGTGGCATGTTAAGGTCATGCTTGTATTCAGTCTGTACAGTGGCAGAAACTCCATTTTCCGTGGCAAAGACTGCATTGTTGACAAGTTCTGCGACATAGCGCTCAGTTGTGACCTTTGCAGTAGTTTCAGCAGAAGCCTGAGCTGAAAAACCATAGAGATTCATTGTGCCCTTGTGGTCAAGTTTGAAATTTGACTGGACAGCATTGATGTTCTCAGAGATGGACAGGTGACTCATCTTGGGAACTGCAAAATGTGCACTGGCATCCACAGTGAAGTCAAGGACTCTCAAAGTAGAAGTAGCCTGTGACTTAAGGTTCACTTTGAACTCTGGTGTGACTGATGTAGTTGTGGTGTTCTCCAGGTCAGCAGTGGTTCCAAGTTTGTAATGAGGTGATGTAACCCTGAACTCTCCATAGAGCTTTCCAAAGCAAGGAATTTTGGTCATATCTACCAGCTTCTCCTTCAGCTCCATGGTGAATGTGTCATAATCAAAAGATCTGATTTTCTGGACCATTCGAATGAAATAGTCACTCATGTCATCAATCAGCTGTTTGAAGTCAAAGGAATACAGCTCATTCACAAGCTCCTGAACAGGTACCATAGCTTTTTTGAGCAAAGGCTGGATGTTAATTGATCTGAGAGCAGCAAATGCAGACTGAATCTTTTCCCTCACCTGAAACTGCTTCATCATTTTAACAACCTCATCCATGATGGCTCCAATCATCTTCTCAACCTCATAGCCAGAGAGGATCTCTTCTATTTTGGCATAAATTACATTGAACTTGTTTGCAATGTTGTACTTCTTGATCCAAGCCATGACAGTGTCCTTGATGGATTTCAGCATCTTCATGACTTTGTCAGTTGGGAACTTGGCTGTCAG